TTTGTTATTGAAATTTCTACATAATATTTGATAATTTTATGTGCATATGTCTAATGACCATTTTTGACCGCCAAATAGCATTTGTTTTACTTTTCTGGACCTGCCTCCCCATAAATTTTATCAGTTTTTTATTTCGTCAATACAAATTGAAAAAAAAAATTCAAATCATTCAAATCCGACGCTCCTTTATCTAAAAAACTGAATTACCATTTTTGGCACTTGTTGGTCCGTAACTTCGAAATGGCTGGACCTGCCTTTCCAAAAACTAATTAGCACGTCTTCCCGCCAATACAAATCAAATGTTTTTTGTATTATTTAAATCGGTTGATCCGTGTTTACGAAATCGTCGACAAAAACTTGTATTTACACACACACATACATAAATTCATTTCTTCTAAGTAAGGTATGCCAAAATGTTCAGAAACCTTTGGAACATAAAGCAATATAAAAATTTTCATTTTCGATTACTTACTCTGTGCAAGGTTAATAACTATTAATATGATATGCATATGTCCAATGACCGCTAAATGTTTTTTTTGTTTTTTTTTGCATCTCAGAAACCGCTGACTCTCTGAATACAAGTAAAATGTTTTTTAAATCATTCTAATTGGACGCTCCGTTCTTTCAAAAACTGAATTGCTATTTTTTGCAATTTTTGCACTTTTTGCTTCATATCTCCGAAACGGCTGGATATATCTTTGTCAAAAATTAATCAACACGTTTTCCCGCCAATACGAATAGAATAATTGAATTGAATTATTGAAATAGAATTCTTGAATTGAATTATTGAAATCGTTTGATCTGTGCTCCCGAAATCGTGGACGAAAAATTGTACCCGAACACGCAACACACACGCACACACATACAACCCTTGAAACGTAAATATTTGAATCAGGCGTGTCACACATGAAATTTAATCTATAAAACGCATAAACGTCAAAATAACAATTTTATCATAAGTGCATTTTTCTAATGTGCTCTTGGTAACACATACGTAAAGTTAGGTTATAAGTGTAAAACGCCTGATTCCACAACAATTATATAGCTTTTTGGCAGTTTTTACTACCAATTTATACGAAGATTTAACCGTAACATAACAATTATATTTTATCGGTGAGTTGGCCTTTAAATATATACACAACATATAATTTTATCCAAAATCAGTAAATACCGCAAAAATGTGACAATTCCTGATTTCGATGTTTGTACGTATTTGAATAATCTTAAAGCATTTCTATTGATACCATTCTCTATCACTTTACCATACCATTTTTTACACTCGTTTGTATTTACATTATTGAGTATAAATACATACAATAGATCTGTTAAATATATAGATCATAAAAAATGCAAAAACCTCATAAAGTAATAATGCTCATGCGTTTTATACTCGTACGATTCTCCTCGCACGTTTTTTCCACGTTCTTCGATATTCAAGTTCATATATTTGATTTTATGATAAAATCTATAGTAGTAATCTCTTCGAGTATTGAGTTTGTCCTGCACGCTGCAAATAAAAAATAAAACAGATTAAATACATCATTTCATTTTACAACTTATGGCTTTTGCGAGTCCGCAGAGCAATAAAATATGCAAATGCATCTTTATCTGCATGCAAACAGACTTGTACTCCCACAAACAATCCCGACCGTGAGTCACACTCGTCCTTTCAAGTTGTTGTTTATAAGGGTAGGTCTCCATGACCCGCGATTCAGACGAAGAGATTTACCATGGATTTATGTGCAAGCGTACCGTAGTCGCGCAGTACTATAATGAGACTCGAATGCATTTAAATAGCGCGCCATGGACACTTGCCCTAAATGCTGTGTTTCAAAAATTCGAGGGGGGTAATTTTTGGATATCGTCAATCTATAATGGCATCTGCAAAACTAAAACTAGTGGTGCATGGCATCGTGCCTTAAGACAAAATGCTAAAACTTCCCGTAACGTAGTTTAAAATTTTTAAATGTTCAGAAGAGATAATTTAGTTTTTTTTTTTTTGAGAATTACTTTTCTGTGAATTATGATTTTTTTTTGAAAATTATAAAAAAATTTGAAAAATTTGTAAATTTTGATATCTATTTTTTTGAAATTTTGATTTTTTTTAAATTTGTTGAAATGTTTTAATACGATGTCGGTTGATCCATACTGTCAAAAATATTTGACTTTCGACCGCCAATGACATTTTATTTAACTTTTTCTTCTGTATCTCTGAAAACGCTGGAACTGCCTTTGCAAAATCTCAATTAATTCTTCAGCACGTTAATACAAGTGGAATGTTTTTTGAATCATACAAATTGTATGCTTCGTTCCTTCAGAAACCTAATTGCCATTTTCTGTACTCTTTGCTCCGTATCCTCGAAACGGCTGGACCAACCTTTCCTAAAACCAAAACAGCAAATCGCCTTTCAATAGAAATTGAATGCTTTTTGAATAATTCAAATCGGTTGATCCGTGCTACCGAAAACGTGGGCAAAAAATTGTATCAACACATACATACACACACACGCACGCACACACAGACGCATCCATTTTTTCTAACGTATGCCAAAATGTACAGAAACCTTTAACACCTTAAATATATGCCAAAATTTTCATTTTAGATTTTTGGACGATTACTATAATTTGCCCTACGGGAAGTTAATAATTGTACACACAATTAACAATATTGCATTAATCAATTACAACAATAGCTTCGAATATAATTTAATAAGAGACCAAAAAACCTTAGATAACTTTAGATATCATTTCTAGCTAATATTTTCCAAAGTTTCAACTGGCCTTCCTTGAGCCATCTGTGGCGTTTGATCCTATAATCGGTCAAGTTTGACATCAGGCAGCATGAAACCACTTGAAGTTTTAGATCTCAAATATAATCTCAAGTGAAAATCGCCTTTCGATGGCATATCTGCATATAAAATCATAAAAAGTCAAAAAATGCTATTAAGTAATTAAGTATTAGTGATTAATCAAAACAGGATAGGACAACTCCTAACTGGGGCACCTGCCAAAAACAAACCACGCACTGCATGTCAAGAAAAATTAATAAATGTGTTCATAATATAAAACAAGTGGTGTAAGTCATCGTGTCTTAAGGCAAATTGCTAGAATTTTCCGTACCGTAACGAAATGTTATAAATACTGTAATAATTTACTCTAATATTTATAAGATATTTACATAAACTGAATTAAAAAGTTAAAATTATTTATTTAAAGTATATAAGTGAGCTTCAGAACTTTAGCCAGATTAAAATTAAAATCTGAATTATTTTCGATATTAAAAAAAAAATTTTTTGAAAAAAAAAATTGAATTTGTTTTTTTCAAAAGCGATTGCTTTGTCAACACAAGCAGAAAGTTTTATGAATCATTTTCATTTTCGATTTTCGGGCCATTACTATAACTTACCCTACGAGAAGTTAAAAAAAGGAAAAGAAATGGCCTGACAGAGTTATTTTTAAAGGGTTGCAGCTTTGACATCAAAAATGCACGTTCTGCATATACCTCGCTCATTTTTTTTACCTAAACTACATTTTTACTTTTTCTATTAAAAAATAAGATAAAAACGCTTTCTTTAAAAATGAAGTGGCCTTTTTCTTTAAGACGAGTTACATCAACTTCCTAATTACCTAAAGATAATGAAGTTCTTCAACAAGAATTGAGGCAGAAACAATTTAAATTACAAACAAAAAGTATCTGTTCGCGCCATATCAAAGGGTGCGATATATATTGATAAAAAAAAAACAAAAAACGAAAAATCATCAATCGATAATCATACAAATAAATCAAGTCAATCAATACGTTATCAAAACCAATATTGAACTTATTATAAATACGAATATAATTTGTAATCAACAGAAAATAAATACATAAATTTACGAATTAAAGCGTTTATAACAAATTTGGTCCTTCAAAATTCAATCAAAACAATCAGTGAAAAAACAGTATCCATTTAATGGTAATGGTAACCTATCAATAAAAAAACGATTTTGAATTTTTTAAATCTATTCAGAATTTGTTTTAGAAGCTGGTTAGTTTACTTTGTTAACTAATTGTTTCTTCCAACGTGGGCTTATTCGTAACTCAGTTATAAGAACTTTGGTCTTGCAAGCACAAGGTTACAGATTCAATCCGTGCCTCAAACAATCATATATTAAACAGTAGTGATGTTATTTTTATTTGAAAATATATATCTAAATATGATTTCAAATTTAAATAGCCTTACGGGGTCACTTTACGTTCACATTTGCAGACATACATGTTTCGGTTCTTCGATCCAATTATTCAGAAAAGTATGCAGCTTAATTTAAGTTAAATATAAATAGTACACGCAAATAATTTGTACAGATTAGAGCTATGAGATTGGATTTACAGGTTTCTGGTTTCAATATTGGCATCGCTTTTGCCTTAGGATAATAGCTTTTACTCTTAATAGCTTTCATTACTGCATCAATAAAAAATATCAGTATTACAGAAATTGTAATATTAAATTTATCACATAGAAATAGGACAACAGTTGGGTCGCCATATACAAAATAACTGCGTCATTAAGAAGCCACTCATAGGACTCGTTAATGTAAAGTATTTTAGTTTTGACTTCTGTAAATAAAAAATTAAAAAGAATAAAATAAAAATGTGGCAATTGATTAATAAGTGTAGGCGCCTATGGGAGTATATTAAATATAACATTTCTAATCCATTTAACATATTGTCCAAAATTTGCCAGATATTTTATACATTGAACAGTATTTTTTATTGATGACAATTTTTATTTTAAGTAAGCTTTGAAAAAAATTTATTTTCAAAACAAATACTCATCAGTTATTCACAACATTAGTTTGAATAATATAAGTTTCATAAATTCGTTATTGTCATAGTTATTAAACGCAAGATTGATCATAATTAGTATCCTGCAAAAGCAAGGCAATACATTTTGCTGAAAAAAAACGAGAAACCAGAAATAGGACACAATAATATTCTGATATATCATTGATTTTATGCAATGGCAGAAAAATCACCAGTAAGTAGCTTGTATGAATTATGTGCAATTTGTTTAATACGGCCTAAATTTAACTTAGTCCACGAGAGTACGAATACTAAAGATCAATTATTTGTATATGAAACCACTTTGAAGTACAGAGAAAATGATGTAAGAGTTGTAGGAAGCAGCAAAATAAAAAAAGTGGCTAAGGAAAATGCAGCCAGATCGGCGATTAAAAAGCTTACTGAACTTTTATCTGAACTCGATCCACCATCAAAGAACATTGAATTAGAAAACTTTGAAAAGTGTTTTGGTCATGATATAATTATTAAGTTAAAAGATCATTGTAAAGTCCAAAAATTACCTATTCCCGAGTTTATGATAACTGACTATCTGGGGCCACATCAGGCAAAACAATTTACAATAAAGTGCTCTGTAGGATCGTTTGAGCAAAGTGGAACAGCTGGTTCAAAGAAAAGGGCTAGACGACTATCAGCATACAAAATGTTCGAAAAATTAACATCGGCGGCTAATACTGATAATAAAACACTCATTCCAGAGCAAAAATCCCTCCTGGAAAACCTTGATCCTGTTGGAAAATCTGTCCACGAAAAATCTAACAATGACATAGTCATAATGAAAGGAGCTGGCTTAGAAGTAGAGTGCTCTAAATGAAATATTCTTTTAATACCCCATATTTAATTTTGAAGTCAGAATGTTTCTTATTGACCTATAAGCATTGTAAGAAGTGTTTTCATTGTATTTCAAATCATAAAAAAATATAAATCATCATGTATATTCCTACGATTCAAAGAAATAAACCTGGTAGTTTTGAGTACTTATTGTTTTACTGTTTAACTTACTACTAACGTTAAGTTCTGATTGCTGTTCATTAAAAAAATTTTTAGAAAAAATTATACCCGGAACGCGTTAATGTAATTTTTTTTTTAATTTTCATATTTTTTTGCACCTATTACAAAATAAAAAAAATAGCAAGTTTTCTGATAGTCCTTTGTAGAATGTCTAGATCGGATGCCAATCCATTGATTGGGCGTCCGGGTATGAGCGTTAATGTAATAACAATTTTATTTGTTCGCATGTTTGCCATAAAATGTATTTTGATTTTATGAATAAGTTCTTACTCATATCAATGTTGATATAATAATCGTATTATCGAAGTGTTGAAAACAATCTGCGCTGTTAAATGGCAACGAAAAATAACAAATTTTGTTTAATTATACTGTTCCGAGAACCAATGTTTTTCTATGTTCTTCTATGACTAATTGCAATATCAGTAAATTTAATCGATAAATATTATTTTCACTGAAAATTATTTTATATAAACGTGTACGATAAGCTTATTGACGTAATGCTTAAGAATTTCTCACTTAAATATAGTTTAGTTTAAGAACTTATAATTATATTTCCATCGTGAGACAATACATTAATGACTCATAGATTGTTTTCGCTTTAACTCTAACTAAAGCTAAAATTTTTGGGTAATTTTCAAATTTATATAATCATTATGATTTTCAACTTACCGTGTGGTAAGTTATAGTAATCGAAACTGATAATTTTTGCATATTTTTATGTTTTAAAGGTTTCTGAACACTTTGACATAAATCAGAAAGAAGGATGTGTATGTATGTATAAGTTTGTATGTGCGGTTCTATTTGTTATCGACACTTTTGCGAGCACTGATCAACCGATTGGAATGATTAAAAAAACATTCTATTCCTATTGACGAGAAGACGTGCTGATTAGTTTTTGGCAAAGATAAAGATATGAGCAAAAAAGTGATAAATATGGAAACTAAGTTTATACGAGAAGGGGGCATCCGATTCCAATGATTCAAGCAATATTTTACTTGTATTGAAAAAGTTAAATATAAGTTACATTTTTGCAAAGACATGTCTAGCGGTTTCGGGGAAAAAGATAGTAAAGTGACATTTCGTGGTGTGAAATGATCATTGCAAATCATTATTATTGATTCATATACATGTAGAAATATTGATGTACAGGTAAATAGGTGGACAGGTGTACAAGTAAATAGGTTGACAAGTAGACAAGTAGACAAATAGGAAGATAGGTCAGAAATTTGACATGTAGACATGTGAATAAGTAAAACGGTAGACGGATAGGAAAAATAGACAATTAGGCAGGTCGACTGGTAAGCTGGTAGACTAATAAATACGTAGACAACTATGCAAGTAAACGGGTGAACAGGTAGGCAGGTACTTGGTCGACTAGCAGATATTTAGACAGGTTGTCACTTTCACAGGTCGACATCATATACTAATCATTTATCATATATTTATTTATTAAATAGATTATTTACACAAGTCCGGAAGTTCGTGCATCTTGCCTTAAAGTAAGGTGACCATATTTTTTAAAGTCAAAATCGGGACGGTAAATTTTAGTTATGTATTGATTTTGAACTATAATAAATACTATTAAAGGATGCAATAAAAATTTGTTAATTTTAAATGAATCATTTTTTTCAATCAGAAACACTCAGTTAAGAATATTTTCATTTTGAATCTATATATTTTTTCGCTTTTAAACTTAGTATAAAATTTTGTCTTTATAGTTATTTTGAAAAAATTATGACCTATGCCAGGCAGTCAAAAAGATTGTTTTCACAATTTTCGGTAATGTCTATGAAATTGAAAATCAAAGTTTCAATTTATTAATGTGATGTGCTGTTTTAACCCGCTTTTGGCATTTTGTATTCGAAAATTTTCTCATTAATAACGTATTGTTTAATATAAATATACTCCTTTTATATAACAATTTCAGATATTTGATCAGTAATTGTAATTTTACTATTAATTACAAAGATTCCGGGACAAATATTGCTTTTAGAAAAACCGGGACAAAAGGTGGAAATTCGGGACTGTCCCAGCCAAACCAAAATGCTACTTACTACTAATTAAAAATATTTTTATTTTCAAGAAAATCTCATTATATCATTTTTTACTATAAAAACCACTTGACAGAAAACTGAAAACGGGCATACCATAGTCCCAAGACATCGAATAGAAATACTTCTAACAAACTTTTGTTTTCATTTGGATTTCCTGTTCGAAGTACGTATCTGTATCTACAAAGCAAATCATTAACAAATGCAATGTATATGAGTCAACTAATATTGCTATAATATTGCTTTTTTCGTAAATGAGTTTTATTTTGTATTATTTATATGTATATTTGTTATTTGTATATTTATTATTTTTTCAACGGTTTTATATTTATTCCAATTTTTTATTATCGCACTGAAATTAAGTCAAATAAAGGCTCTTAAGTATGTTAAATTACATCCAGTTTGGCTTTGATTGCTAAAATAAAGTAAAAAAGAAAAAAAGAACCTTTTTGGTGTCATCATCTAATAGTTCTAAATTTATTAAATAAATAAAATATTTTTTCACAAGAAATACATACCATAACAACAAGAACCCAAATAAAGAATTATTTTTAATTATAATTAAACAATGAGCACAAAATATAACAGAGAAATATTATGTAAAAATATTTTTTGTAAAATCATGCTGTTTATATTTTATCATTTTTGTTGCTCGCCTGGGATTTTGCTAGATCTTGGCATAATAATAGATTTTGTGCCCAAATTGACCCCGCGCAATATTAGAGGCCTGTGAAAAGCGATTTAATTATAAAAATGAATTATAATGAATTAACGATTTTATAAGACCATTTTCTTATTTGAGATAATAAATGATTCCGAAACTATATATGTATATTTTTATTAACTTCTCGGAGGAAAAGTTTATTTTTGCAGAAAATCTGATTTGCTAATTTTATGATCTATTGATGTTTCAAGTCAATCTAAAACGTTTGACACAAAAATTGAAAAAAGTATGAGTGTGTATGTGAGCCAAAATTTGACATTTCTCAAAACGGCTACACCGATTTTTAAAATTTGGAAGCCATTTGATGAAACTTGATAAGGATTCGCATTGATTAGTTTTATGACACGATCGGCCCATTTATGACCTATTTGCTCATTGTGAGACTTATGTGTTAGGTGCATAAATTTATGTGTACGTTTTAGCTAAAAATCCTGAACCAATTTTAAAAATTCAAAAACTGTTCGAAAGATATTAGTAGGACATCGTAATAATTATTTTTGGTAAAGACCGACCGGGTCGTTTCTTCATAATTAATTGTTGAGATTTATTTATAATATAATTGTAAGTTCTTAAGCTAAACTATATTTAAGTGAGAAATTCTTAAGCATTACGTCAATAAGCTTATCATAAACGTTTATAAAACAATTTTCAGTGAAAATAAAATTTATCGATTAAATTTACTGATATTGCAATTAGTCATAGTAGAACATAGAAAAACATCGGTTCTCGGAACAGTATAATTAAACAAAATTTGTTATTTTTCGTTGCCATTTAACAGCGCAGATTGTTCAACACTTCGATAATACGATTATTATATCAACATTGATATGAGTAAGAACTTATTCATAAAATCAAAATACATTTTATGGCAAACATGCGAACAAATAAAATTGTTATTACATTATTTTCAAAAATGGTTGCTGAATGATGCTGAATGATGACATTTATTTGCTTTCTTTTATTTCGACGATTGGCTGAAAATTAACATTCAAGAATATGTCTCAATATCGAACAAACAAATTTAAATCTTATATATATATATATATATATATATATATATATATATATATACTACCGAAAACCACGAAGTACATTCAAAGCCCATATTGCATTTTTAAATCTGACGAATTTGCGCTTGTTCTTTTATTTAAGAAAAGTCTTGTGCAATAAGCCGGTTTTGCTCCTTATTTACGGTTTTCAATGTTTCGATTCGCTTAAATAATCCTTTTATGACGGATGATTGTGCGAACGAGAAAACAGGTGTTCAAAATTCCTATATGCATGGTGATGTTCTTGTCGCACGATCATCAAATTGACAGGTTGAAGTGTTCGGATTTTACCACTACACTAACGAGTGCGAATCGTGTCATTATGATGTTAAGGGTAATTAAAATTAAAATCCAATCATTTTTGATATACAAAAAAAAAGTTTGTTTTAATTTTTTTTTTTTTTTGATCTCCCCAAAAACCAATCGTTTCTTCACACTGTCAATACAAGCAAAATAATCTTTAAATCATTGAAAGCGGATGCTGTGTTTTTTTCAAAAATTACCGTTTTTCGCACATTTACCTTCGTATCTCCAAAACGGCTGGACTTGTCTTTGCCAAAACCTAATTAACACTTCTCCCCATCATTACGATTTGAATCTTTTTTAATCATTTAAATCGGATGGTCTGTTCTCTCAAGAACTTTATTAATATTTTCTGCACTCTTTGCTCTGTATCTCAGAAATGTCTGGACCAATCTTTGCCAAAAACTACTCAGCACGTTCTCCTCATCATTAGGAATCGAATACTTTTTTAAATATTTTAAATCGGTTGACCCGTGCGCCTGAAATCGTGGACGAAAAATTGTAGACACACAAAACACACTCACATACATCAATTTTTTCAAGGTATGCCAAAATGTTCAAAAGCCTGTGAAACGTGAAGATATGCAAGAATTTTCATTTTTGATTTTTGCAAAAATATATATAATTTTTTTATGGTATGCCAAAGTTATCAGAAGCCTCTGAAACAAAAAATGCAAAAAAATTCATTTTAGATTTTTTGACGATTACTATAATTCACCCCAGTGGAAGTTAATTAATATTAAATGTATTAAATAAGTAATAATGTAATTATATAATTATATAAAATTATCCAAGTTAGAGAAAAATAATAAAATAAATAAATAAAAATAATACGTATATAACTTGTTTCCAAATTTTTAATTTCCCGTAGGGTTAGTTATAGTAATTGCAAAAAAATCGAAAACTGTGCGAAAAAGTGGGATGCATAGCATCGTGCCTTTAGGAAAATTGCTGGTACTTCCCCTACGGGAATACCAATAACTTACCCTACTGGAAGTTAATAAATATATAATAAACAAATAAATATGTAAATTAGGGTAAAATAATAAAAAAATAAATAAAAATAATAAATAACTTGTATGCAAAAATTTTCCGTACAATTTGAAAAAAATTATTAACTTCCCCGTAGGGCAAGTTATAGTAATCGCAAAAAAATCGAAAATGAAAATTTTTATATATCTTTACGTTTCAGAGGTTTCTGAATATTTTGGCATACCTTAGAAAAAATGGATGTATGTGTGTGTGTATGTGTGTGCGTGTGTGTGTGTGTGTTCGGATACAAATTTTCGTCGACAATTTCGGGACACGGATGAAGCGATTTGAATAATTCAAAAAACATTTCACTTGTATTGACAAGATGAAGAATCGATAAAATTTTCATGAAGGTAGGTCTAGCGGTTTCGGAGATATGGAGGAAAAAGTAAAAAAATGAGCCATTTGGCGGTCAAAAATGATCATTAGACATATGCACATCAAATTATCAGATATTTTATAGAGATTTTAACAATAAGTATAAATTTTGTTTACATTCCTATGGGTTCCATACCAATGTTTATTCGTTAGACAGCGGCGCGGCGCGGCGCTTACGCGATTCGATATTTCGTCTCTATGCAGTTAAAGCAGTACGATTGATTGCTTTGAAAAGAAGTTCAGAATTTCCAAAATATTTCAAAATACACTTTTCTTCAAAAAGTATTTTTTCAAAAAAAAGTAAATTTTCGTCAAAAATTTATAGTTTCTCAAAAATCTAATTTTTTAGAGTAATTTTTTTTTCAAAAATGTTAATCTTTTAAAAAAAAAAAAATTGGTACGGGAAGTTCCAGCAATTTGCCTTAAGGCACAAAGCCATGCGCCCCACTAGTTTTAGAAATTACGGCAAACATAATACGCACATATAAATAAAAGTGCCCTCCTAAAATATTCGATCCGGTCTCCTAGTGCGACTCTGCGTGTGGCGGGCCAGCTTAACACGTTTCGCCGTATCGTACTACGTTCGTTCGGCTCAAACTCAAACTCATTCCGTTGCAAACGCTGGAACTGGTAGCACGTGTTGCTCCACGGTAATAATCGCATACGAACGAAACACGAAATTCACGTGCTCCGACTTATATTCTATTTTACCAAACCGACTTTTAACCATTTCGACTTTTAAATAATTAATATCAATTCGTACCGAATTTTATATAAAGTGATTTTTAGTGCGTGATTTTGTTTTGTTCGGGAGTTTATTTGATCCTTTTGCCAAAATGCCAGCCGATGAAGAATTAAGTTCAGTGCTGTCCAGAAGACAGAAAATTAACGACGCTTTGGATGAGGGAATTGAAATTAAACCGAAATTCAAACCTGGGAATATTTATAGTGAATTTCATGAGTTTTCCCGCAAGGAGATCAAACAGTACGAGGCCACTTTTAATTTGTGAGTACATTTGTAATTGATAATTAAAATCTCGGCGAAGATAAAACATACAATATTATTGTGATTTATTCTTAATTTTCCGTAGGTTGAGTTATAGTAACCGCAAAAAATCGAAAACAAAAATTTTTATATATTTTTACGTTTCAAAGACTTCTGAACATTTTGGCACACATTAGCAAAAATGAACGTATGCTTGTGTGTGTACATACATGTGTATATGTGTGTGTACATGTGTGTGCGGATACAAATTTTCGTTCGCCACTTTTAATCTGTTAGAGTAAGTACGTTTGTAATTGATAATTAAAATCTCGGCGAAGATAAAACACATAATATTCTTGTGATTTATTGTTGATTTTTTTTAACTTCCCGTAAGGCAAGTTACAGTAATCGCCAAAAAATCAAAAACAAAATTTTTTATATATCTTTACGTTTCAGAGGTTTCTGAGCATTTTGGCACAACTTAGAAAAAATGGATGCATGTGTGTGTGTGTGTCTGCGGATACAAATTTTTGGATCAACCGATTTGAATGATATTATATTATTCTATTATATTATTCTATTATATTATATATTCATATTCAAAAAAGATTCGATTCGTATTGATGGGAAAGCGTGCTTATTAGTTTTTGGCAAAGGCTGGTCCCGCCATTTTGAAGTTACGGGTCATAAAGTTCCAAGAATGATAATTAAATTTTTGAGATATCAGAGTCCAATTAAATCAATAAACAAAAAATACAAAATTCACAAAAATCCCATTTTTTTCAATGTTTACAAAAAATATTAGTTTTTTTTAACTTCCCGTAGGGTAAGTTATAGTAATCGCAAAAAATTGAAAATGAAAATTTTTATATATCTTTACGTTTCAGAGGTTTCTGAATATTTTTGCATACCCTAGAAAAAAATGGATGTATGTGTGTGTGTGTGTGTGTGTGCGGATAGAAATTTCCGTCGACGATTTCGAGAACACCGATCAACCGATTTGGATAATTCAAAAAACATTCGACTCGTATTGATAAGGAGACGTGCTGATTAGTTTTTGGCAAAGGCAGGTCCCGCCGTTTTGAAGATTCTGGCCAAAGACTTCCAAAAATGGTAATTCAATTTTGGAGATAACAGAGACCGATGATTTAAAAAATGAAAATTTTCAATATATACAATTTCAATATGTTCAAAAATCTCATTTTTCAATATTTTCAAAAATCTTGTAAAAAATAAATTACATAAAAAATTGTACACAAAATTTTGTCCAGAACATTGCATTCAACATAATACTTATAGTCCAGTAATTTAAGCTTAAATTAGGTAAGAATCTCGAAATTCGAGATACCCAGCAGTAAGTCTGTAAATATATACTTGTATATTGACACCTAAAATTTGTCTCAAAACCTACATATGGTAAGGTGTAGGCAATTCTATAGCCTACTCTCCAATTACAAAATATTTGGTAGGACGTCAACGCCCAAGTAAATGGACAATGTCAACGTCCAATAATAGGATGTCCCATACAAAATGGTACTAAATCTTGCCAAAATTCCATGTATTTGCTATGCAATCAGGCGTTTTACACATAAAATGCAACTTCACTCATATGTCATCAAGCAATATTACAAAGATGCAGTTATGATAAGATTTTACGTTTGACAAATGTGCGTTTTCTAGGTTAGGTTTTCTGCCCTTGACATATGGCTGTGTATTTAGTACCATTTTGTATGAGAAACATTCGTCTATTTTACGATAGAATCGGTCCCAAATATAAAATAATTATTTAATAAATCATTTTTTCTTTTTTCGTTTTTTTATTTCATCACATAATTTACAACTGTAAGTAAATCTAAAGACAATATAATGAGTTGATTTTTTTTTGTTATTTTTGAGCAACAATCAGAATCTAATAGTTCCATAAGAGGGCGTCCATTAATCACGTGAGCGAGTTTTTAAGGATTTTTGGACTCCCCTCCTTCTTGGTGATACATTGTAATTTAACCCCCTCACCCGCCAAATATCGCGTGTATTTTTAGTTACGTGACAAAACTGTAAAATTTTTTAATTTTTTTTTTGAAAATGTTAGATTTTTTTTAAAAAAATCAATTGCGAAATAAATATGCGTGACACCTTACTATACCCCTCCCTCCCCCACGTGATATTTTGTGATTTTTTGCCAAAGTGCTCCCTTCCTCCCCCTAAAAACTCACGTGATTAATGGACGCCCCCTATGTTGTGCTGATTTGACTTAATACTAGTCTCCTCGACAGATGGCAACCCAAACGGTTGTCTCATCTCTGTATCATTATTATAATATTACAATTTCGGTGAAAATCGTTGTCACTGCTCCTTGACAACAAGCTGCGCGAAGTGGGTATCGAACCCGGGACCTCTGAATCAAGTCCCGAATTACATACGATAAATAAATGGCAGTAGCCAGTATTACTTCTACTTCAAATATTTAATAAACCAATGATGATTTATTTTTGTTAAGATAGTTTTCGTTAAAAATCTTTTGCGGCGTCATGGATTGTTTACATTGCATCAGTTTGGATTATAAAATGCGGCTTGCGATACACTTTTACTACTCGTAACTTTTCGCTGACTAATTCATTGCGTTTATATTATAGATCTGATTTCGTGAATCACTTATTATATGATGAGTTAGTTATAAACTAGTGGTGTATGACATCGCGCCTTAAGACAAATTGCTGGAACTTCTCGTACCGAAAATTAGGTATTTTGAAAAAGCTTAAACTTTTCTTCAAAACTTTAAAAAAAAAATTGATTTTTAAGAATTTTGAACTTTTTTTGAAACATTTAACTCTTTCCACTTGCTAATTCCGAGATTAACATGAATTTTGCCGCCGGAGCGGAGCCATTCGAGTGAAAAGGGTTAATAGTTTGATTTTTTTGTTGAAAATTAATAGCAAAAAAATAGAAAATATTAAATTGTTGCATATCGTTAAGTTTCGAAGATTTCTGGGTTTTTGGCATACCTTTGGAAAAATAGATGTATGTGCGTATGAGTATGTGTTTTGTGTAGATACAATTTTCGTTCACGATTTCTGGCGCACGGATCAACCGATTTAACTCTTTTAAAAAAAACTTTAACGATTCTTGAAAACCTAAAAAAAATAGATTTTTGCCAATTGTGAAATTTTTGACCAAATTTTGACTTTTTTGAAAAATTTATTTTTATTTATAATTTTGAACTTTTCAACTTACCGTAGTGCAAGTCATAATAGTAGCAAAATAATCGAAAATAATAATTCTTTACGTTTTAAAGCTTTCTGAACATTTGGCATACCTTTGAAAAAATGGATGTAACAATTTTTCGCCCATGATTTCGGGCACAGCGATTTGAATAATTATAATCAACGTTTGATTCCTATTGATGATGAGACGTGCTGATTAGTTTTTGGTAAAAGTTGGTCCAACTGTTTTGGAGATATGAAGCAAAGAGTGCAGAAAATAAAAATCGAGTTTTTGAGAGTACGGGACATCCGATTTGAATGATTCAAAAATCATTTAATTTGTAATGATGGGGAGAAGTGGTGATTAGTTTTTGGTAAAGACAGGTCCACCCGTTTTGAAGACCCGGAGTTAAAAGTGCAGATAATGTCAGTTTTTGAGAGAATGAAGCATCCGATTATAATGATTAAAAAAATATTTAGCTTGTATTTACAGTCAGTTATGGGAAGACGTTTTTTTTATTATTACAAAATTGAGAAAAATAAGCACCTCCAAAAAAATTTTTTTTAAATATCGAAAGTGGTTCGTATTCTCATTTTAATTCTAGCAAAACTCTAAAGCGCACTTAAATACTTGAAATAAATAATTTCAACTATGCAATTCAGTTCAAATAATTCTGAGAAATATTAGATAAGGTCCTTTAATTCTAACTGCGATTGATTAAGTTTTGTTTATTTACTTCTTATATGAACATATATAAACGTCGTCGTACAATTTATAACTTCTTAGATTTTGTCTATAAGAAACGAATAATGAAAGTTACAATATTTATAATCAAAACATTTAAAATTTCTCGAATATTTCATTACGGTACGGGACGTCCCAGCAATTTACCTTAAGGCACGATGCCATGCACCACTAGCTATTTTGTTATTACAAAAAATAATGTGTAAAATATAATGACAAATTTATCAAATACCTACGATTTTAATGCTTTTTTTAGCTACATTGAATAAATTAAAATCCACAGGAATGATTTTTACTTTAACTAATGTGAATCAATCTGATTTACATCAGTGAAAAAATGTGAACACTATATTAAACTAACGTTTAAAAAAGTAAATCAATAACGTGTAAAATAGTTCTATAAAAAATTTAAAGCTGTAAATTTACATTTCCATGTGGTTTTGACCTGACATGGTGAATAATTAAAACTCGAAACCTGCAATTCGAGTAGGTGCTCTACAGAAGCAACGGTCTTTTTTAATTTATTCTCAAAGGTGGAAAGGTGACTCATGTATAAGGGTTGTCCTATTATTTGAATAAGTCATTGTTTGAAATGTGAGGAAATGTACGTACTAGGTTACAACACGGTTTGACTTGAATTTTTACTGTGGAAATATTTAACTTGTTCCATTAATTATATTAACCTCATTTGGATATTATTAAAGCCATTTTTTAAATATATTAAAAAAATAGTGGTGCGTGCATCGTGTCTTAAGGTAAACTGTTGGAACTTTTCGTACCATAATATACAATGTTTAAAAGCTTTAAAATATTTTGAAAACTACAAAAAATTTCTAGATTTTTGAGAATTTTAATATATTTGAAAGAATTGGCTCTTTTGAAAAATTTGATATTTAGCTTCCCTTGGGGTAAGTCATAGTAATCGCAAAAATATCGAAAATGAAATTTTTTATATCTTTACATTTCATAGCCTTCTTCGGCATACCTTAGAAAAATTGATGGGTGGTTGTGTGTGTGTGTGTGTGTGGATACAACTTATCGTCACCGATTTCAAGAACACGGATCAACCGATTTGA